GCTGCTGCTGTTCGGCTGACTCACACTGAGGCGTGTTCCGTGTAAGTTGCGCCCCCGAGTAGCGTCGTGCCGTTGTGTGGTGCGGAGCAGGGAGCACCGCCGCGGCGCTGAGCGGAGGAAAAGCTCTCGCCCCTTGAGCGGGCGAACTGCAGGGCCGGTAGTGTCAGCCACGAGCATTCCTGTTGTCCCACTCGCCGACCTGCCAAGTCTGACTGTTGGGCTCTGTGTACTTTTTAGTCCCTGCGCCCAGTAGTACGCAGACATGCCAACCCCTTGTGCTGCTATTACTGAATTGAATATGGCCTGATTCATTCTCAGCTACAGTTACATATATTTTGCTGGTGAACTGGATGCTTTTCTTTAAGGAGTGCCACGTTCAGGTCTGATCCTGTTCAAGTTAGTTGATAGCTCGTATTACAGGCGCAGTTAAAACTATTTTTATGTGCTTAAATATCTGTTGTATCAGGATCAAGTGACTTAAGTAATCTGTTATGATCTTTCATCATGAGCATAGTGTGAATGTACTATACAAAAATGCCAGTCTGAATCACAATGTACCTGTAATACAGATGAAGAAAAAAGATTTTATCAATTCAATGCGATGTAGACACTCAGTTATTCAGATGAGAATAACCAGTGAGGTGTCATGACTGCTTAGCTGTCTGCAGCATTGTTTGATTTATTTTTGCCCCTTATTTCATAAAGTCTGTGCACTTATCAACAATTGCTGTGGTCCCTAAGGGCAATATACAGCTGATGTAATCCACTCAAAATCACACTTTTTAGAAATATCTAGTTCTGAGTTTCCTATATCTGCTTTTCCCCCCCCTCTCTATGTGTGCTTTTGTTGTCACAGCTTTTAAGTTCTTTGGTTAGTTTTTATCTATATCATCTGTGTTAAGTAAGTATTTTACATCAGCTGATTTTTTTTTTTCTCTTCTTTGGAGTGACTACAGTGGCTGAGAGCCATAGTATGTAAACACTAAATCAGATTGTGAAAGTTATCTCAGGTGGCCATTGCTCCAAATCATTCAAGCTTAAGCATAAAACTGAAAAGACTTTCACCCAGTCTTGAGATAAAAATCTGTATACCATAGGAGTTAATAAATGGCAAAACATTGGATTACATCTCTTCTGTTACTAAAAAATGAATGATTGACTCAGGATACTCCTTCAGAGGTGCGTTTGGAAGATTAGATTTTGATTTAGTGGTGGATGTTCTTTTAAAGAGACTGGGATTGGTATAAGGAATTCTGCTTAAATCATCAGGTACCTCGGGTGCTTTGCATGCTTTGACAATAAGATAGCCCTTAGTTACAAAACAGCATACTTAGCCTGAAATAGCTGTATACCAGTCCACTCCTTGCTGTTTAACTCCTGTGGCTAAATAAATTGCCAGTTGAAAATTCCCTTAAGCTCTCAGTCTTTGTTTTAGTACAACTTTCCCAGAAGCTGAGAATCTTTTTATCTCAGATAGTTTCTTTTGGAGCCTACTACAAGATCCGGGGTAATTTCTCTGGTTGGTGTTTACTTTTTCAGTAAAGTTGTTAATGAGGCCGTGTGATACAGGTTTGACTGTATCTAACTCGCGGACAAAGGCAAATCCATTCTTCCCTATGAGTAAAGCAATTTGTTGCCCCAAGAATTACAAGATTTGAAGAGTCTTTTTCCCCTATAGCTTGTAACAGATAGGCTGTTCTTATTCTCTGTCACCTTGCTGAAAAATCCCTTCACTAAATTCTTGCTATTATGCAGAAAATCATTCTGTAGATAGGCTGTGCCTGCATCTCTTTTTTATGTTTGTGAAGCAAAAATTGCTCAGTGAGTCTACAGCAATGACTCTTAACTGTCACTGACTTACAAGCAACAACACAGAACAAATAATGTGTTAATAATGCTGCCATAGCACAGGAGGGCTTGGCCAACGTGAAGAACAAAGGGCAATGTTGAAACTTTCTACTGGCAATGCTTTTTCTGAAACTATGGGTGGTGAGCCACTCTTCTTACAGGACTTTCTGACTTTAAACTTTGACCTTCTGCTTTTCACCACTCTTGCTTCTGTTGTAAATCTTCTCCCACCAGTCATCGTTTATGGCTCAACTTAGGTCCAAGTTTCTGTTTACAGGGAATGATTTTAAATACTATTTTGGCTTCTCTTTGTAAGAAGACTTTTTTTTTTCCTCTTTCAGCACTGTATTTGTGAGAAATGGGGGGTTAATTAACTGCAACTCTTATGTAATCAAAATATAAGAATAACACTGCCTGTAAAAGGGAATTAGAAACACACGCTGCCCCCCAGCCTTTCAAACTTAACGCCAAGCTTATATTTGCAAACACTAGGGAAGATGATAAAATTTGGTATATGTGACATGATATCAAAGAGATAACACTGTTTCTTTGCTTTTTCTTGTTTTCTCTTGAAATATTTCAAGTTAATAAAAGCTTTAAGATCTGAAAATTTAAGAGCTAACAGTTCTGTTGGGATAGCAGTTAAAGCAAAGCACCATGTAGGTGAAGTAGTGACTTCTATCAGTCTGGGGGGGGTTGTTGATTACTGTTGTTACTCATTTCCTTTGTTAAACTTTTTCTCTGCTATGCCAACAAGCTGTGTTTCAGTTTTCATAGATTTGATTCAATCTCATGCTTTTTGTAATGGCCTTCTTGGTAATATATCTGTGAGGACCTTTGTATATATTCAGTCAATTACAGTTTACTCTCCTGTCTCCTTTTATAGTCTTTATACCTCTGTTTCCTGGACTTCCAGCAGTA